GAAACGATGTACAAATGTGCTTTACACAATTGATGTGTGTATGGATTGGGATAACAGTTGTATGAGCCCCTAATAAAATGTTAAAAAAGAAAAAAAATAAATAAATAAAGACAGAGGCAAATCTCAAATTCAAATATTTGAGCTCATAATCCAGGAACCTATAATGTCAAGATACTGCAGTTAATTTCTGATCCCAGCATACATCCTGAACATTTGTATGTTTGTTCATATGCCGTATAACTCGACAGGCCTCTGAAATTGTGTTTCTAGCACATACAAAAGTAAGTCCAGAAATATGGCTACTGGGGTTCCAGTTCATACATGCTGGGGTTGTTTCCAAACAATAAGTGCTTGAACATTTTTCTGTGATGCCTGAAGACAAGCTCTCTCAATAATTAATTATAGCTTTACTTAGCAAAAAATGTTTGCAGAAAATCTCTTTAAAGATGCCATTTGGAAGACTTGCAAAATGTAGAAAGTGAATAAAGGAGACTGAAGAAGAATTAGTGACTTTGAATTATGGTGGAAAATATTAAATATGCCATACACTGACAACAGAACAAAAAATCTGGGTTGGAAGAAGTATACCTAAGATGTCACGTAATTAGGACATGTCATCAGGAGGAACCTGGAGAAAGACATCATGCTTAGTAAAATACAGAGTCAGTGAGAACGAGGAAGAGCCTCAAAGACACGGATTGATAGAGCGGTTACAACAAGAGTCAAACCTAGGGATGTTGGTACAGCACCAGGCCACGTTTCATTCTGTTCTACATAGGGCGACTCTGAGTCAGAGACAAGTGAGCAGCCTTTAACAACTACAGGTCTCATCACAGTGTTTGCAACAGGGGTTGGGCGTTCCAATTAAGATTGTGGCTTCCAAAAGATCTAATCAGCCAGTTAAATTCAAGGCAGAGAGGTCAGACTCAGATTATGAGACTGCGTGAGGGGATTAAAGGTTTGATATTGATAAGTTTTCTTGAAGGACACAATAAGAACATGGAAGGAGTTGTTTTTTAATTTTTTAATTGAAATTGCATAAGTGAGAAAAAGGCCAAGAAAGTTGTGCTGTGGAATTTCCCATCTCAATCATGCACTTCAAGGTTAGCGAAAGTAGTCCTATGAGAATTTCATTGTGAAGACTTAGCCTATCTACCCTTAAACCTTGATCTTGCCCCTTCCATCTTCTTTTTGTCTTCTCTCCACCCCCTAAAAAAATATATGTAAAAGGAAAACAACTACAAGAACTCATTTGTACGTGGTATAAATCAAAGAGCACATAATTATGGGGCAGGGCTAGAAAGATGGAAGGAAATGCCACTTTCAAGAATGTCTAGAATTAGGGGAGGTCAAGAAACACTTTTGGTGTGTTTTTCTAAAATAAAGGTTTCTATGATTTTCCAGCAATCCTTGTTGACCTCCCCTCAGACTCACATTTCTTACTGTCTTATGTTCATATATAGTGTTACAGCCAAGTCTGCACAGGCACAAATTAAAGTTTTATTTTTCAGTCTGGAAAAAAAATCCATTTAAAAGTCCAAGTTTCTATACCTGAATGTAACTGAAGCACTGGCATTTCGTAATGCATATTTCCCCTTTCCCCTGCTGATAAGAAATAGCTTTTTAATGTTGAGATCCCAAGAGTGTAAGGAGTAGACGCCTGATCGTGCCCTACCAGGAATCATCATATTCTGTGCGAGGAAGTTCAACCGCTTGAAATTCTTAGCTTCTCACTCATTTTAGAAAGTCAAGCAAAAAAGAAAATTAATTTGACAGACAGCATAGAATAAGCAAAATATTAGAAGCCAGAAAAGGCCATTTTTCCTATACAGGCTCATTTCATTCTATATACCATTTTCCTGGATATCTGGCAGTTGTTAGCAGGAAGAGTAATGTTATCTTTTTTTTTTTATTTCACTCTTGAGTATTACAGAGATAAATAGCTAAATGATGGAGAAATAACTATCTTTCATGGTAGTAGTTTAAAAGTGAAAAGAAACAACTCAAATGCAGATAGGCTTTATGCATGAAGAAAATTCAACCATGAATGAAAAATATGATTTTTCTGTAGACTCTTTTTTAACAGAAAAGTACCTTTTTGCATTTGCCCATCTGCACAGTAAAAAAATGGCATGTGACTATATAGAATTATGTGCTCAACCTAGAAATGTTCCTTTTGAAAACTGACTGCTTACGTTTTGCTCCAGGACCAATGCAAGAGACCATCTACGATTTCTGGAGGATGGTGTGGCATGAAAACACTGCAAGCATAATTATGGTGACCAATCTTGTGGAAGTTGGAAGAGTAAGTCAGATGTATCCTGTACATTACCATTTTCTGTGTTGTTCAATTTGTAATATAAAGTAAGGCCTGAGCTTAGTTTGGGAAGTATTAGATATACTCCATACAACATTAACTATTACAGGGCCTCCAATTGCACTTCTGCACTTGCTTATAAATTATCAGTAAACATAGCCTGCATTGCTTTCATTTGTTGCGATAGCAACAGACAGGAAAGGCACTCAAGATTTAAAAGCAGTTCTTAGCTGGCTATATTGAGCACACTAAAGCACATCTAAGCATAAACGCTTGCGGCATGTCAAAACTCATTGATGCTCCCTTGGGTTTGACTATATTCTTCACTCAAAAATTGAACTCAACAGGCAGTGTGCTTCACTGTAGTAAATCATTAGGTTAGAATTCCAGCGTCTTCTCTGCTTAGTTTTTACTTGCCTGTGCCTCAGTTTTGCAAGGTCTTATATTACTTAATCTGTATTAATGCTCTGTAAGGGTTGTTCCCCAATCAATCAGGAAACTCTTCAAGTGTTATAATCTCCGTGTTGGCATGCTATGGGATTATTTCCAAAATGAAATGTTAAATTATGAAAACACAAGGGGCGCATTTGTTTTCCTTTACAGGGTCCCGTTTCGTGTTATATGCAACTCGAGCAACCAAAAGCCCAATGCATTAAGAAAACAATTAACAAATCAGATTGCATTAAAATGTAATTTTTTTTTCTACACAATGAAAGAAATACCAGTAAAGTGCTCAGATAAGGAGAGACGATTCTCTGGGAGGGAGACAGTGCACAGGAATGTATGACCTGGCTAAGAGTCTGGCACCTGTCGCTCCTCACTCCATGACCAGCATGGCCACAGCTTCAGAGTCTCTCTTCTAAGAGATCTTCTAGTAGAGTGGAGAAATAAAAGTACCTGTTTCATAATTTTCTTGTCAAAATTATGTGTCACCTAGGGAGAAAAGTCACTACCTAATGGCAAGGACTAAATAAATACCGATGCTAGTGAAACCCTCGTGTTTCTAAAATACCTAAGATACATACACACACACACACACACACACACACACACACACACACATATATGAGCTTTTTAAAGTTCATAGAACATTTTCATTATCTTTCCATTTCATTTGGCCACAAACTCTTTTAATCCCCCTCATACCTATACCACCTTGGGATACCCTGCGGAGCAGTTCTGTTTTGTTCGGGAGCATTGTTGAGTCAGAAATGACTCCTTGGCACTGAGTATTTTAAGAGGAAGTTAACTAAAGAAACTGATAAGCTAAAGTTACCCCCAATTTCATTTACTTGTGTTCGCCCCCCTGAAATCAATACTCAATTCAGAATCATTTTCCAAAATGTGTTGACTGCCTCTGAATCATTTTCCAAAATGTGTTGAATGCCTACACGCACCTACATCACATGATGGTAAGAAACAAGGGGAAATACACGTGGAATAAGCCTCCAGTTTATTCCCTGGGGATTTGAATAGTTTTGCAATCATACACAAGGCAATGGAAAGTAGATTGTTGTAGAAGATTCAGTTAGGTTAAAATCTAACACCTTATCATTTAATCTCCCTTTACACCCATTTTAAAGTTATTCTAGTTCTTAATATTCCTGGTTTCTTGTCTACTGAGATTTTCTCTGGTTTATTATGTGATCGTCCTTAGGGGTTTTGTTGTTGTTTTGCGTTGAGTTGTGTTTTTTGCTGTGGTGGTGTGGTTTTTCGTTTGGTTTGGTTTAGGGGTATGTTGTCCTGGATAGGATATCCAGGATAGGTAAATCCATTGCGCTGTTATCACAAGGTCAGCAGTTTGAATCCAACAGGATAAAGATGAGGCTTTGTACTCTTGTAAAGATGTACAGTCTTGGAAACCCACCGAGGTATTCCTATACAAGCGATAGGAGCTTAGGAACCCTTGTGGCATAGTAGTTCTGAGCTGGGCTGCTAATCACAAGGCCAGCAGTTCAAATCAGCAGCCAATCCAGTGGAGAGAGGTGAGACTTTCTACTCCCTGAACAGTCTCAGAAACCCACAAGGGCAGGTCTGCTCTGTCCTATGAGGTCTGTTGCAGGGAGTATTGGTTTGGTTTGGGGGTTTTGTTTTGTTTTGTTTTGTTTTTTGACAGGGTCACTATGAGATAGAATTGATGGCAGAGAGTTTGGTGTTTAAGTTTTTTAAGATCAGTTACCTTGAAAAGAAAAGCATTCTTGTGAAGAAAGCTGATGGTACCAATCTATCAAAAGGTATAGCGTCTGGGGTCTTAAAGGCTTGAAGGTAAACAAGCGGCCATCTAGCTCAGAAGCAACAAAGCCCACATGGAAGAAGCACACC